TGCGCGGGCACTCTCTGCTTTCTCGACATCCGATTTCTTCTTTGGAGGAAACATTGGAAATAGATATGAAGAAAATAGAAGGATATACAAGACAGGAGACTGCCACGTCAGCTTCCAAGAATGCGATACACATCCGATCAGCAAGAGTGTGTAAATTCGACAGCTTCGGAGGGTCTCGGCGTGCAATCCCATGCACCAGGCCCAGCAAAAACATACACCCAACAACGCCCTAGTTCCGCTGGAGTATGCATGACAGACTAGTGATCGACCACGTGGGTTAACGTAAAACAACATTGTTACTCTAATGCACTACCATGACATGAAGAACATCATAACAGGTAGCTATGCCGCGCATCAAATAATTGATCAAAGTCTAGGCGCCATCATGTCACCCATGTCTGAGAATCCAATGCAATGATAAGGAAACAGTTGCGCGAACTCCACCAGCAACACCTTTGGCCGCGGTAGCAAGGTCCCGTGTTGCAGCTCTACGCATCGCAGTGTGCTAGGTATCAATATCATACCAAGGATCGCCCACCAGGTCGTCATAGGTAGAAGAATAGCCCAGCAACACCCCAGCGTCAGTAGCACATGTAGTAAGGTCAACCTCACTCGCCACGAACCCTTCCTTCTTTTGTCATCTGCCCACAACGTCCGAGGTCGTGTGCACGCACGTCCTCTTCGTGACATCGCGCTCCCCTACACCGGGGACTCCACCACCAAGCTCAGGGATATGCTCTCTACACACTCCACCCTGTATGCACAAACTCTACGTGACATTATTTGGGTTACCAATGTTTTCTATTTCAAACGCGTCCAAAACGCAACCGTCTTTTGATTCATGCGTGGTGTCTCTTTCTAGTGCGATGCTTCGTGCGGGGAAGCAAAAACGCTTGGCCGCTTGGTGTACTGCTCACCAGAAACCACAACGCTCTGTATTCGCATCATTGCTGGTACTTACATGTCGTGAAATCGCATCTGCTTGAGCACTTGAACTTTCGACTAGCGTCCGCGCCCGACGTGACCATGTCGATCACTCGCCTGCTAGTGCTATCCTGACTCTTGCAAACAGCTCTGCCATCATAACAATACTTCCGCGTGCCTTGTCTTGCATGTCTAGTCTCACTCATGCCGTCAAACTCATGTAAACATAAGGATTTTTTACGGGACACTTTTGTTGCACACTCTTGTAGGACACTCTAAGTCTTGTGGGTCACTCTTATGGGACACTCTTGTCGGACACTCTTGTGGGACACACTTGTGGGACACTCTTGTGGGACACTCATGTAAACATAAGGATTTTTTACGGGACACTTTTGTTGCACACTCTTGTAGGACACTCTTGTGGGTCACTCTTATGGGACAATCTTGTCGGACACTCTTGTGGGACACTCTTGTGGGACACTCATGTAAACATAAGGATTTTTTACGGGACACTTTTGTTGCACACTCTTGTAGGACACTCTTGTGGGTCACTCTTATGGGACACTCTTGTCGGACACTCTTGTGGGACACACTTGTGGGACACTCTTGTGGGACACTCTTGTGGGACACTCATACGGGACACTCTTGTGGGACACTCTTGTAGGACACTCTTGTGGGACATGCGGGACACTCTTGTGGGACACTCATACGGGACACTCTTGTGGGACACTGTTGTGGGGCACTCTTGTAGGAGACTCTTGTGGGATACTCTTGTGGGACACTCTTGTGGGACACTCTTGTAGGACACTCTTGTGGGACACTCCTGTAGGGCACACTCTTCGTACGAGAGTTCCTCCAAAAGTCACGCTGCGAGGATGCAAGACGAGCGTTTCGTACGAGACTTCCTCCAAAAGTCACGCGTCAAGTCCCAAAAACGAGCGTTTCGTACGAGACTTCCTCCAAAAGTCACACGTCAAGTCTCCAAAACGAGCGTTTCGTACGAGACTTCCTCCAAAAGTCACATGTCAAGTCCCCAAAACGAGCGTTTCGTACGAGACTTCCTCAAAAACTCACATATCAAAGTCTGAAAAACGAACGTTTCGCACGAGACTTCCTCCAAAAGTCCAGCGGAAACACCCATCGGAGCACACACATCACGCAGCCCTGCCAAGCAGTTTCGCGATTCCAGCTCCTCCAAACGACAACCGCTCACACGCCAATCCCAATGTGACAGCGACATTCACCTCTACCACAACTCACAACCTCCCGATTCCCTGCGCCTGCCACGAACCTTTCCGCGTCCACACGTCTAAGGCGCACAAAGTACTGCGCCTGCCACGAAATGTCACCTCCGTCACACCTCCACACCTCGCAACCTCACGATTCCCTGCGCCTGCCACGAGAATCGCACTTCCACACCTCAAAAGCCGCACAAAGTACTGCGCCTGCCACAAAAAGTGACAATATCATCTCATGTGAGCTTCAACAAAATTTGCACCACACCACACGTTTGGAATGATTTCGACCCGTTCTGAGCACACTCCCATCCACCAAAATCGGCATTTCAGCTGAGACTTGTCACGAAAACAGAGCTTCGATGCCACACCCTGAAACGCAAATCCCAATGGCACGGCCACATCCAACACCCCAAAAACACGACTCTCCAAACGCTAATCCCAATGGAACTGCGTAGCAAACTGCGGATCTCACAAAACGCTGCGCCTGTGCAGCGAAATGCATCACGTTTCTTGCGCGACATGTCCTTTTCACGCAAATCACAATGGAATAGCGGCGCAAACTCACACGTTACACATCCATGGATAGTCACTTGCAAAAGCTTCCCCCAATGGCAGCGCCTTAGCGCTCTACCGCGGACGGTTGCAAACGGTTGCGGACGGTTGCGAACATAGAAACAACGGGTCGCGAACAAGGCTCCACCCCCAGACCCCCAAGAGTTAAACGAGAACCCTTCGCTACGCATTCGGGAAAAGAGATTTATCCGCCGACCCCAGCCGATGGATGGGGGAGCGCGCCAGAGGACACTGAACGCGTCTCAGTAGCCAGATCTACTGAACGGGTCTCTCGAGCAGGGCAAGGTGGGTGGTGGCGCAGCGGTCCACTGAGTGGGCAGCGCGCGCACATCGGCGACCAGACCGCGTCGGTGTGCCTCCGCCAGGCGTCGTGCGCGAGCCAGGCGGGTGTTCGCGCGGCGTGCGTGTGGAAAGCTGTGGCGAGGGGGATCGCTAGGAGCAGGTTGGAAGAGGAGAAGATGATTTTTTACTGCAGAAAGCGACGTTTGGAAGTGAAAAAAACTGCTGAGAGAGGACGGCTTCTCAGTCGTTTTGGGGTGGAATTAGATTCTGGCAAGCTGTGGCGAGGCAGATCGCGAGGAGCAGGTTGGAAGAGGAGAAGAGGATTTTTACTGCCGTCAGAAAGCGATGTTTGGAAGTGGGAGAGCAGCTCTGAGGACGACTTTTTAGTCGTTTTTTGGTGGAATTAGATTGTGGAAAGCTGTGGATGGACACCGAACGCGTCTCAGTAGCCAGATGCACTGAACGCGTGAGCCTCTGGAGCCGGCGTCGGAGCGCTCGAGATCCAGAGCGCAATGGGCAAACGTATGTGTAGGAAGGAACAGGGCTGGGCGAGGTGGGTGGTGGCACAACGGTCCTGTGAGTGGGCAGCGTCTGGGTATCTGCATGGTTCTGCGGGTGGACAGGCACGCACGTCTGCCACGCCGCGAACCAGACCGCGTCGGTGTGCCTCCGCCAGGCGTCGTGCGCGAGCCAGGCGGGTGTTCGCGCGGCGTGCGTGTGGAAAGCTGTGGCGAGGGGGATCGCTAGGAGCAGGTTGGAAGAGGAGAAGATGATTTTTTACTGCAGAAAGCGACGTTTGGAAGTGAAAAAAACTGCTGAGAGGACGGCTTCTCAGTCGTTTTGGGGTGGAATTAGATTCTGGCAAGCTGTGGCGAGGCAGATCGCGAGGAGCAGGTTGGAAGAGGAGAAGAGGATTTTTACTGCCGTCAGAAAGCGATGTTTGGAAGTGAGAGAGCAGCTCTGAGGACGACCTTTCCTCTGAGTGGGCAGCGTCTGGGTATCTGCATGGTTCTGCGGGTGGACAGGCACGCACGTCTGCCACGCGGCGATCTGCGCGCGCACATCGGCGACCAGACCGCGTCGGTGTGCCTCCACCAGGCGTTCGACGCGCGCGAGCCAGGCCGTGCCTTCGGTGTAACCAAAGGTTAAGGACTGCCGCCGACCACCTCCGACACCTCAAGTCGCGTGTTTTACAGTGCTTTGTGGGGATGGCAAATCAAAAATTTTCGTGGTGGCGAAAGGGTCACGAAATGCAAAAACCATGTGTTTTCCAAGGGTGGTGTCGGTAATGCGCGCCGCGCGGACAGGCATAATCGACATTTTTTGGGCGATGGGCGCGTTCCAACATACATGGCGGACAATGTGCCCCAAGATTACCTGACAGAGGCCCCCACGATGACCCAACATAGGTCCCAGATATGCCCCAAGATGGGCCAACATAGCCCCAAGATAGGGTCAACATGGCCCAACATAGGCCCTAGCTGCCAACATAGGCCTTAGATCGCCCAAGCTCGACAGAGAGAGAGAGAGAGAGAGAGAGAGAGCAAGAAAGACAGAGAGAGAGAGAGAGAGAGAGAAAGAGAGAAACAGACGGAGAGAGAGCGACAGAAACAAAAGGCGAGAGAGAGAGAGAGAGGGAAACAGAGGGAGAAAGGCATGGAGGGACAAAGACATAGAATGGGAGAGAGAAAAAGAGACCCTAAGAAAGCCAACGAGAAAGAGAAAGAGAGATAGAGAGAGAGAGAGAGAGTGCTTTTTCCCTGTGTTGGGCCGGCGCCCGGCCGTCAGGCGTAAGCCTTTAAATATACTGTAAGTATAGAGAGAGAGAGTGAAAACATAGACAAGCACGGTTTCGCAACCTTCCAAACTTCCTTGACTCTCTGCAAGGTGGGAGTTCATTGAAACATATTGAGCTGTTTCTTTGGTATCTCATTGCAAAATACCGGTGATTGTAAATTTTTGCGCACGATTGCATCTTGCAGCCTCGAGGAGTCTCGGGCAATGGCAAGTGAACACGTGTGGCCGAACTCACCTCAAAGCCGAATCTAAGTTCAGCATGAAATCTGATTGAAACCACTTGACATGGTCTATGACCATCCTAACTTTGTCCTACAACTGCTATGTTCTCAAGGAAGCTGCTGGCTTCAATCCACGCACGCCCACTGACTTTGAAGAGAGTCCTGGACAAAAACACAAGATCAAGCAAACATGTTCCGATGCAGCTAATAATGATCACCTATCAGTACAAAATATCGCACGTCATCAATGGAATAATTTGACCAATCCCGATGTTGAAACTCTATTGTCTATGCACAGTCTACTTTGTTTCAACAATAACGTCTCACCATGTCAATCAATCCTGTGAATAAGAATGACGGTGAGTTGAACGTCGATAAGAATAAGCAATCACAAGGTCAAAAACTTGGCACAACAATTGTACAACGGATTGCAATAGGTTGCAATGTTTCCATTTTGCTGGAAGATCTTGAATCAAAACGGCAGCCATAAATGGAACCTGCAAGAAGCCTTGCGTGTGTGCAAGCCCCCTTGGCCATTTGCCAGAGTTGCATGCAGGTTCAGGCCCAGAATTGCCCAACAATTTCAAATACAAACCAAACTCTGCTCCAAGTGAGCCATTGCAACTGCCGTCCTTGACTTGAATCTGAAAACCGCGTCGGCGGTTTACCAATCTCGTCATCCTTGGGACAAACAAGTGATGCATGGAACAAGACCAAAGCTTTTCGGGAACAGCATGCAAACAAACACTGATTGAAAACAAAAATTGAAAACAATAATTCCTGATTCCCGGGTCACGTGTGCAAAGCCGAAGGGGTATGATATCAATTCCGAAACGCGGTGTCGCTGTTGCACTCATAGCCACCCGAGAACATACCCAGATTGGACAAGGCGGTGAGAAAAGGGCCGAGAACGCGGACAAGGACACACAAACCTGGGACAAGGCCTGGACAGGGCCTGGACAAGGCGGAGAAGGGAGGGTCCACAGCGCGGCCAAGGCTATCACGAACGCAGGGTCGTGAGACCGGCCAGAGGACAGAGAAGCCAAAGCAAGGCCCCCCACACACAAGAGGAGGACACGGGTCCAGCGCCGCCAAGCAGAAGTGGAAAACCTTTATTGTCGTAACAAGGACGCTACTAGGGGCTCCTGGCATCGCTACTAGGAGCAAGAACGCTACTAGGGGCTCCTGGCCGTACTATCCTTACTACTGGTAACAAGAAGCTACTAGGAGCAAAGGGCATCGCTAGTAGCAGTTTTGCCCAAGCCCGCAACGTGGTTGTCAGGCACCCGATGAAGCTGGGGAGGAATCCTAGCTCGAAGGTTGATCGGCAGCAAAGGTTTTCCAAGCTTGAAACATCTATTATTCTAAGATATTCTAAGTCTCATTGCCCAACCTGTGCGAGCAACAGCAACGAGGCCAAACTAAAGATGCACACAACCACCCACGCACGACATTCCTCCTTCTAGGGCGATGTGACAATGAGAGGAGGTCTCTGGAAACTGGTTACGCTGCAATGCTAGTGAAAATGGTCAGTCCCACTTGAAAGAAAAAGAATAGGGCCTGGGTTTACTCAATTTGACAAGCAAATCAAATCTGTATGACAGGAACAAATCTCTGGTTGGCTCTGGGTCTTGAAACTGTTTTGGCGGACGGGGCAAACATTTCTGTTCACAAAAGTGTAAGAAAGAGAGCGTTATGATACGGCATGTAGCCGAAACAACAACACACAAAGGCCTTGAACAAGCTACGACTCAGAAAAATACGCTTGCGTTTGATGCAAAAAGGCAGCAAAGTCTTACAAGCAGAGGGTTCGGCGCAATTCATTCTGCGACGCAAGCGTGCGAAAAGAATACCCACAAACGTGCAACGCAAAGCCCTTCATCATTGAAAAACATGTGAGGCTGCCCAACTCAAACCCTTCAAGGCACAACTGCTATCAGCTGTAACAAAAAAACTAAACCTGTAAATCAAAATCCTCTCCGCCACTCAAGTTCCTTGATAGTCGTTCAGCCACCGCGGACAGAGGACAAATGGAAAGACAGACAAGAGGAGGACACAGGGTTCGCGAGCGCGGCCAGAGGACAGCAAGAGGACAACAGCAGGACAAGAAGAGGACAACACGAAACTACACCTGGACACAGGGTTCAGGGCGCGGCCAAAGACTGTGGCCAGTGCCTTTTTTCCCAAGAGAAAACCCCAACAGTAAACTGGTTGGGGAATGACGTTACACCCTTCCCCTGCTTCAGATCATATGTTACCAAATCTCAAAACGAACACGAAGAGCTCGCATGCACTAGGATCCGACTTGTGCTCAAACGATGGCTCAAAATACCACAAATACCCAAACCGAGGGTCACCCGTTCAATCGGATTGTTGCGTTCTGCACATGTCTCAGTTTCCCAAACTGCAAATGTCTGGCCTGGTTAATGCAACAGCCATTTTTTCGCAGCCACCTCCAGGAGATTGCCACCTGAAAGTCTGAGGAAAGGAACACACTTTCAGCAATCTGGCTCGCACAAAGCAAGATTGCAATCTGCAAGTCCTTGAGGCAACCGCCAAGGCTACACCGCCGATGACATCCAACATCAACAGGCGCCAAATGGTACCCGCCAATGTGGCGCAAAGTCTGGTGGTTTGGCAAGACATGTCAAACTATATAGATAAACTTGGTAAACTGCAATATCTGTCCAATGCATATTCCTCACATTCCTCCTCTACAATAAGTGTTTTAGTGCTCTGACTCTCCTGCAATAGCTCTGAGCTGGTACGCAGTCTGCCCGCATGTGTTCTGTGCAAATATTGTGTCTCTGTGATCTTGTGCATCAAATCATGTCATACTGCACATATAAGTCTATATCCGTCTGCCGTTGCTCATACGAGGGTCTTGCTTTGTAACTGTTTCTCCCTACCTTTCATGTCATGTTTCGTTTTGTTTTGTTGTTTTGTGTCTTTTCTCTCTCTCTCTCTCTATCTCGCGCGCACCCTCGCTGTGGCCAACAGTTCCTCATGTTTTTCTATTTTTATCCTTCTGTTCCTGTCCGTCTGTTCGTTGTTTGCTCCCGCGCTCAAACGCCCAAAGTTTTTGAGCTGAAAGCTGCACTTTAAAATGACGCCAATTGTTTCTCTCACTCGTTTCTCTCACTCAATTCCTCCTCAATCGACAGCCAAAAGAAGCTTGGGATTTGTCTGTGAAAGGTTCCTCACACTATGCAAAAACGGTTTCTTTAGGCCCTCAAAGATCCTGCATTTTGTTTGCATCAATAGTCGAGAAGAAAAGTTATGCCAGCATAGACCCCAAACAGTTTCAGCATTTTTTGGTGTCAACTCCTTGAATTCCAATGTTGCTGGCACATCGCAAGCGCGAAGGGATATATGTCATGATAAAATCTGAGGATGACATCAAACATCAAACGCGGCATCACTGTTGCATTCAGCCACACGAAAACATACCCGGACCAGGTGGTGGAGCAAGGGTAAGCGGCGTGGCCACGCAAGGGAGGAACAACAGCAGCAACAACAACATCAACTACTACTACTACTACTAAACTACAACTACAACCACAACTACCACTACCACTACCACTACGACTACTACTACTAGTACTACTACTACTACTACCACTACTACCACTACAACAACAACTACTACTATTATTACTACTACTACCACTACCACTACCACTACCACTACCACTACTACTACTACTACTACTACGACTTCTACTACGACTACTACCATCACCACCACGACGACGACGACGGCTAATGGCTAATGGCTAACAACTACCAATAACCACTATCGACCAACCACTAACCACCATCCACTACCACTACCACGACGACTATACGACGAGGACAACAACGACGACGACGACGACTACTACTACTACTAACTGGCACTACTTACTACTTCTACCACTAACTACTAACTACTACCCACTACTCTTACTACTGTTTTTACTACTACTACTACTACTCCTACTCCTACTACTACTACTCCTACTCCTACTCCTACTACTACTACTACTACTCCTAGTCCTACTCCTACTCCTACTCCTACTCCCACTCCTACTGCTCCTGCTGCTCCTGCTCCTGCTCCTGCTCCTGCTACTGCTACTGCTACTGCTACTGCTACTCCTCCTACTACTACTACTCCTCCTCCTGCTGCTGCTGCAGCAACTGCTACTGCAGTTGCTACTGCTACTGCTACTGCTCCTCCTCCTCCTCCTCCTACTACTACTACTACGACGACTACTACTACTCCTCCTCCTGCTGCTGCTGCAACTGCTAACTGCTAACTGCTAACTACTGACTACTACTTACTACTTACTACTCAATACTTACCATTTACTCCCTACTACTTACTTCTTCTCAATACTACTAACTACTTGCTTGCTTACTTACTTACTTACTTGCTTGCTTGCTTGCTTGCTTGCTTGCTTGCTTGCTTGCTTACTCACTCACTCACTCACTCACTTACTTACTTCCTAACTTCCTAGCTTACTAACTCTATTATCCATTATCTTTAATGTACTATCTACTCATCTACTCTGCCTATCTATTATCTACTTGTCAATGTGCGAATGCTCATTCGTGAACTTTACATGTCAGGATTTGCAATGTTTGATGTCGCCGCGTCCGCGGCCCCTTTTCACTGTTCGACCCCTTTAGGGCCCTTGAGCACACCGTTGGTTCAACTTCTTCAAAAACCAGTCCGTTGCCCTTCGAGCACCACCTTCGTTCTTTGGTCTCACGTGGACTTCGAGAGCTACGTCGCTTTGATATTGGTAGCGGAGCTCATCACGATCCTCGTTGAATTTGTCAAGGGCACCCTACATTGTTGAACACGTCTTTTAGGACCACCTTGACTTCGAGAGTGAGCTCACCATAAAGATCATGTTCGGCAGGACAGTGGAATTATGAGTCAGCAACAAAGAAGAAGACGAGAGCAAGATGGACCACCTGCTGACGTACCCCTTCCACCTTCGCCTGTTCGAGATCCAACTTCACCCATGCTGGATCTTCGAGTCCTACGAATGGCGGAAACGATAATGGTTTTCGAGGTCTTGACAGAGGCCTCGCAAAAGCTGCGCCTTCATCAGATGGACTATATGCCAATCGAAATATCGCAGCTACAGGAGACTTGAAATTGTACGCCCTCCAGCGCCGCCGTCGTTCAAATGAAGCGGAGATCGGAGGCGCCCTCCTGGCGGCGTCGCTTCTTCGCGATATAGCCTGGGAAGCTGCAGAGCAACTCGACTTGAATGACATCACCAGCTCGACCACGCCTTTCGCTCCTATCCTTCGCATGCTTGACACCCTCTACTAGTACGAAGAGCAAGTTGAGACACCATTCAGGTGCGAGGAATTCTTTCAAAACTTTCAGAGAAACAGAGGAGAAGAACTCCAAGCCTACTTGGTGAGGCGTCGCACCGCCTTGAAGAAGTTGAAAGAAGTGAAGATCGACCTTCCTCCTCTTTTAAAAGGTTGGCACCTTTTGACATGTTCCGGCACTCCTGCTGGACCCACTTGCAGATCAAAGCTTTGCGTCATGGAGAGCTTGAGTATGAAGCTGTTCACAAAGCTCTTCTTCGTGTTTTTGGTGGTGACCACAAGCCAAATCACAAAGATCTTGGAGGAAAGCACATCAAGGACGACCTGTTCTTCGAGGAAGATGTCGACGAAGAGTTCTATGAGGATGGAGAAGATGAAGAATGGTGGTGGTCTGAAGAGGCCTTCTATGAAGGCGACGAAGAGCCTGAAGAGTATGAGATCCCTGAAGATCTTGAGAATGCCATGGACCAGGTCGACGATGCCTGTGCGACGTACCTGGAGTCAAGGGAAAGAATGAAAGAGTTGGCATTGTCTCGTGGCTTCTACCCCATCGTCGCTCTTGGACCTGATTTCGGAGGTGGACAACACAAAGGGGGTGGAAAAGGAAATGGCAAGAGCAAAGGAAAAGGAAATAACAAAGGAAGCAAAGGAAAAGGAAAAGGAAAAGGCTGTGGCAAGAGGTCCAATCTCATGCCACGAAGGCCGATGCAAGGATTGAGACGACCGCCCAATAGCACTTTGTCCAACTCCAATGTCAATTTAATTTAAGTCCACCTTGTGTAGCTCCAACAGTGCTCATGGACCACGCTTCGAATGATACCGAGTACAAGCCCAGAAACTCAAAGAAGTCTCTGATGAAGTGACAATGGTGGAAGATGAATATGATGAGGTCCCCAAGGATGAGGTCTCCTTCAGTGACCTGGCACCTGGGTTTGCGATTATCGATTCCGGAGCCACTCGCACCCTGGTTGGAGAAGAAGCTTACATGGCAATTTCTAGTCCTGAGGTTAGCCAACCTGCCACCACTGTACTTTCTGCCCGGGCATTGCCTTGCTCAAAGTTGCCTAATGCTGTGGCTAGCCTAGCATAGCGAATGGCGAAGCGCCCATGTCCTTGCGCAAAGTTATATGTGGGGTCTACTGTTGTGTCTTCTTCCTCTATTGACTCTTCTGCCGCCTGTTCTGCGGGGTCAGCTGCCCCTATGGGTACTGGTTGTGCGTACCTGGGCGACAACTCTCTTTTGCCAGTGCGCTTGAGAGCTTTGGCCTCCAAGTGCTTGCTTTTTGGACCGATCAAGCTCAACCCACAGCAGTGCTCTTTTCGCTTTGGTGGTGGAGAACTCCTTCAATCTGACCGAGCTGCAAGTCCTAGTCAAAGGACAGAAACTACCTTTGCGAGTCTCCGTTGTTCCTGGGCCCACACCCTTTCTTCTCGCTTGCTCGACCAGTTCTTGAAGAATGGAGCGCGAAGCAAGACTTTGCATCTGGATCTTTGAAGATCGGCCAACCTCAAGCTCAAGTAGACGCAACTGTCCAGTGGGTGCGGAACCAAGCCAAGAGACTCACGAAGGTAGTTGTCCGCGGTCTTGTTCCATTGGCAAGGTGCACGAACATTTCCAAAAGCTGGGCGAGTTGCTTTCATGACTTCCCAAGGCTTGAGGCCAATCTTGCGTTCAAGTCTTCTTCGCATGTCGGCAGAAGGCTGGATGTAAATCCTGGTTGAAGAGTCAATTTCATCAGCCTGCATGAAAGCACTTTTCACATCAGCGGTCCAAATCTTCCATGGTTTGTGGACAGCGACCAGGTAGATGCAGCTCCTGCCGGTCATGGACAAGGTGGGACTTTCTCGGTCCAAGGTGTTCTCAAGAACATCACGATGACGAAATCCTTGGGTGATGACCCGGGCGTTTGCATTCTTCCCGTTTTGGTGGGCTTCCACCTTTGCAGAAAGCGGGCCGGAATGATCTCGCCTCAGAAGCGTCCACGACACACCAAGCATCGTTGTCAAGCCACACACGTTGGGTGCAGCGTCTTTGGCTTCGTCGAACTGCAGCTTCTCCTCAGGAGACAAGTATTTCTCACTGAACGTTTCAGTGTAGCGCTGGAGGAATTGTGGGTTCTCAGGCGACACTGGTTG